GCTCATTGAGATAGTCTTGAGGTATGTCACTGTGAGATGTTGTTTGTGCTGGAAACTTGAAGCAGGATTCAGTGGAGGTTCCAAGGGACGATAGCCCAGTTATATGGTCATTTGCAGTGTTACAGCTTAGTGGTTTTTGTTTTTTTTTCTCTATTTTCATAACTACCATGCTTCAAAAAAAAAAAAGGATAACAGAGTAAGTAGTCCCTGTATAGTTTCTTCAAGTTTTCCAGCAGGGGCAGATGAGTCTTCACTATGGGACTGGAATAACCTAAAGAGGCAGACTCCTGGCTGGCTCACCACAGTATATGTTGTGGGATGGCTTCTGCAGTGATACCCAGGTTCGTGATGTTTTGAACAAAGAATCGAATGAGCCATGCCAATAGCCAAAGGGAAAGCACGTTTAAAAATGAAGGAGTGGGCCTGAGAGAACAGAGAAAGAGTAGCTCAAAAGGATTTTTCCCCCTTTAAATAAAACTTTTCTGTTGACCTAAAAGAAACGAAGGGGCATGTTTGATACAAGACCTGATTTCAAAAGTCTCGGAGATCTGGGAACCAGCAGTTAGCGTAATGGCTATGTCACTGGACTCCCACATAGTAGACTGCGGTTCGCGTCCTGGACCCGGTGGCTTAAAACTCTCGCTGGGCACGTGTGCGTGCGTGCCCAAGATCCCGAGAGGAGAATGGAGGAGAAGGGATTGCGGCGTGACCATCCCCCCTGGGGGGTGATTTCTCGCTTTCTGTCTCTCTGTCTCTCTCTGTCTGTTGGGTGAGCGCACGCGCCCTACAGAGAAAACCTAAAAAAAAAAAAAAGTCTCAGAGATCAGCAATGACTATATGCTGATGATTTTCTTTCTTTCTTTCTTTCTTTTTTTTTTTCAAAACCCTCTAGAAGATTCCTGGAACTTCATTTTTAACTGTTTTTCTATTTCTATATTTTACACTATTGTAACTGTAGTCCTGGTGCATAGCAAAACTTACATATACAACAAGAATAGTAAATACACAAATATAGTTGTACAATCACTAGACAAGTGATTCTTGGATTTGAATGGACATCAGAATCACCTGGAAGGCTTGAAAAACAAAGACTGTTGGACCTGACCCTTCAGGATTTCTAATTCAGTGAGTTTCTGGTGGGCCTGAGATTTTTCATTTTTAAAATGAAAAGTGAGAGTGAGAGAAAATGGCAGAAAGAGGGAAAAAAGAGAGGGATAGGGGAAGGGAGAGAGAAAGACAAGCACCCTCAATAGGACCTCACACTGTGATGCCTCTCTAAGCCTTCCCAGGCAGGGTCATGGGCACATGAACCTAACATGTGGACACCCATACCCAGCATCTATAGGTCCACTGGCGAACTGAACTCATAATCTTCCACATGAATCTGGCATAGTTTGAGCAGCTCATTACCCTGCACCACTGAATAGGCCATATTTCTCATTTCTAACAAGATTCTAGGTGATGCCAAGGAACGAGATCCAGAGTGAATCCAAGGAATTATACTTTGCAAACCACTGGTTCAAAATGTTGACAAGAAACAATGTCTGAGCATTTATCACGGTTGGATTTTTGGAAAGAAAGGGGGCAAAGAGCCACCGTTTTAAATGAGGATTATATCTGAACTATGCTACTACCTATTTAGATTTATATATTTTGTTACAGTAGGAAAAAATTATCATAATCTGCTTTCCTCTTATCTACCTGTACTAATCGATTTTGCTCTTGTCTCTCAATCTTTCAAAGCATCTAAGCCCATTCCTTGTTGTTGTTTTAAAGAATATACATAAGCCTTGAAAAATCAGGGAAAGAAATCTTCTTTGCTCTGCATGTGTAGAGTTACATGGGTAACTTATATAAACTAATATCCTTAATTAGATCCACTGCAACGTATTCCTTCCTCATCTTTTTTTAAAAGAATTATTTTATTTTGTTTATTATCATCATTATTCTTTGATTAATTTGACCAGAGAGAGAGAGAGAAAGGAAAAGTAGGAAAGCAACCCTCCAGGTCCAGGACTCAAACTGTGGTCAGCCATGTGGGGGTGGGAAGGGAGAGAGAAAGACAAGCACCCTCAATAGGACCTCACACTGTGATGCCTCTCTAAGCCTTCCCAGGCAGGGTCATGGGCACATGAACCTAACATGTGGACACCCATACCCAGCATCTATAGGTCCACTGGCGAACTGAACTCATAATCTTCCACATGAATCTGGCATAGTTTGAGCAGCTCATTACCCTGCACCACTGAATAGGCCATATTTCTCATTTCTAACAAGATTCTAGGTGATGCCAAGGAACGAGATCCAGAGTGAATCCAAGGAATTATACTTTGCAAACCACTGGTTCAAAATGTTGACAAGAAACAATGTCTGAGCATTTATCACGGTTGGATTTTTGGAAAGAAAGGGGGCAAAGAGCCACCGTTTTAAATGAGGATTATATCTGAACTATGCTACTACCTATTTAGATTTATATATTTTGTTACAGTAGGAAAAAATTATCATAATCTGCTTTCCTCTTATCTACCTGTACTAATCGATTTTGCTCTTGTCTCTCAATCTTTCAAAGCATCTAAGCCCATTCCTTGTTGTTGTTTTAAAGAATATACATAAGCCTTGAAAAATCAGGGAAAGAAATCTTCTTTGCTCTGCATGTGTAGAGTTACATGGGTAACTTATATAAACTAATATCCTTAATTAGATCCACTGCAACGTATTCCTTCCTCATCTTTTTTTAAAAGAATTATTTTATTTTGTTTATTATCATCATTATTCTTTGATTAATTTGACCAGAGAGAGAGAGAGAAAGGAAAAGTAGGAAAGCAACCCTCCAGGTCCAGGACTCAAACTGTGGTCAGCCATGTGGGGGTCCAGTGCTTTAACCACCACGCCACCTGCTGCGCCACCTTCCTCATTTTACAGAGTATCTGGGACCACTCAATCAGATCTATGAGAAAGAAAAGATTTAACTCCCAGGATGATTTCCTTAAACTCTCTGAGCTTTAGTTTTCTGATGTCCAATATCTGTATAACAAAATACATTTGTTTGGAAAAATATCACAAGTGTTTGTTAAATATCCTATGAGGTACCACATATGACATCGTTGTCACAGCACACAGTAACACACATTAAGTGATTAATGGTTCTCAGTCATCGATATTGTTACGGTTACTTCAGTCAAGATACAATTTTTGTGGAAACAAGTCTCATGGTCATTGATGCCAAAAAAAGCCAGATAAATTAAACATATTTAACTAAAATTTTAATCAATTAAGTTAAAATGAGTGAAGGCAAACATTATACAGTTCAAGTGACATGCATTTGCCATCATACTGCATGCTTTTAAGGCATGGAGTGGCTTGATCCCAAGAAGTTAAGGTGATTATATTGAAAATTATAAAGGCATTGCAGACCTAAACTTGTCTGTGCCCTACCTATACCACCTACTCTAACCACTAGGTTATACGCCATCCCAACTTCTATCCTCCAGAAACTGTATTTCTTTACCTAAAGGCTTCCGTGGCCACTAAGTCCCACTTTCTCATGTGTTTGGCAAGCTGCAAGTACTAGGAAATTGACATTCCCTCAGCAGCCTTTAATCAATAATGGGAAATAATATATAAATAATACCCTACTTTCTTCACTCCTGAATGGGATAACACTGAGACATGTTGCCCAGAGGTTTCCAACAAGATTAAACTCTAATCACCAACTATGGTTGCTGAGCTTAATAAATATACCCTTATAATCTCTCTTCCCTTTCTGATCTTCATCCCCATCCAGCTGCCAAGATTTCAGTCACATCACGCTTGCATATAACTTATGCTTGAAAGGTCATCCCACGGCTGGCCTCTGGAGGAACCCCAAACTAAAAATAAATTGTGTGTGCGTGTGTGTGTGCGTGCGTATGTTTTCAAAATACACATAAACATAAGGAATTAAGGGATATAATACATATATAATGTCCTGTAGCCTCAGACCACTAGTAGCTCTCCTGTAGTTGAACAAGTTGGGTTTATGTTTTGCAATGAGGGAAAATGCACCCCAAGGGAAACAGTGAGATCTGTAAGGAAAAGACCATTACAGGATTTGTGACTTTGTTAGGTGCTTGGAGGGAGGGTTTAGGGCTTTGCTTTGGATTTCTTGTGATCACTGAGTAAAAGCAACTCTGTGATTGGATATCTCATCTTTTCTGAAAGGAGAGAACAGTGGAGTGAGGCTGAAATTGTAGTTGACAAATAGCAGTCACGTATTAACTGGGATAGGTGTGTGTTTGATGTTTTGTGGTTTGGGCCGGGTTTATGTTTTTGTAAGTATCAGACATGATTATGGAGTGGTCTAGTGGTGGCCTTGATCTACCATAGTAACAGAGTGGCTTTGTTCAGTGTTGAATTTCTGTGCAACAGTTTTTCTTCCACAGGAGAAGACCAGGGCCTAGTTGTATTAGGCCAGCTCTTGATATCAATGACTGCTTTTTGCTTTCTCTTTTAATCATGTGTTTCCAATTATTGAATACAACTTTCTTTCATCAAAATATGGTCTCAAATGTAATATTAAGAAGACATTTCTATGTTAAGTATCTGATTTAAATAATATTTTTACTGATTTCAATGTCATTTGTCCCTCTGTATAATTTATGAATGATTTCAAATTTAGAGTACTAACCAGTTTTAAACCTAATTAGTACTGAAATATTTGATTCTTAACTGTTTTGAACAACTTTAATTATATAGATACATACATATTTGGCTATAAATACCAACCTACATACAGACTACTTTTCAAGCTATTCTTATAAAACATCTATTATATTCTGATTTTAATTTTTCTTCAATTTTCCAATTTAAACCTAAATTTATGGAAATGACTAGAGAGAACATTAGATTTTTATTTGTCTCCTCCCAATAAGTGAAGAAGAAATTATGTGGCAACTAGGAATGCATTTTGGAAGTAAATCGTCCATTGCTTTGCTACTAACAGACCATTCTTTGTTTTTCAGAGAGCTAAAGAAGAGGCCCAGCAGAAAGAAACGAAAGTGAAACTCCTTACTGAGTCTGTAAATAGTGTAATTGCTCAAGCTCCACCTGTAGCACAAGAGGCCTTAAAAAAGGAACTGGATACTCTAACCACCAACTACCAGTGGCTCTGCACCAGGCTGAATGGGAAATGCAAGACTTTGGAAGTCAGTTGGTCTTCTCAGTCTTTATCAATTAATTATATGTCAGTATAAGGTCACATAAGAAGCCTAGTGGTAAAGTTCACAAATTGTGTTGTAAAACTACTTGGACTTAAATTCCTCACTCTAGCACTTATATGTTGTATGACTTTGAGCCAGTTGTTTTACTTATATATTTCCAATTGGTAAGATAGACATGAAAATAATGCCTCCTTTATATACTCATTGAGAAAATTAAATGAGCTATTTTGTTTCAAATACTTAACCTAGTTTTGCTATAGGGTGCATGCGCTTGCTGGAGAGAGAGAGAGTGAAAGTGAGAAATCACCCCTGTCCCCAGGGGATTGCCATGCTGCAATCCCTACTCCATTCTCCTCTCCTATTTTTGGGCATGCACACACATGTGCCCAGCATTTTTCTAAAGCCACTGGGTTGGGGACTCAAACCGCACAGTCTGCCATGTAGGATCCACTGCCTTAACCACCATGCCACTTTTCAGGCTCCTGAGTCTTATTCTTATTACTATTATTATTAGGTCACTTAAATCCTATTAATATGTTTCTCTGGATGTATAGAAATCATTCTTTTTTTCCCATAGATTTGTATGTGCATGAAATTATTTAAGCACAATATTTGGAAACTATTCTTTGAACAAATATATCTTATAATTGCCATTAATAATTTCTTTAATAAAATCTATGCCCTATTCTTTATAAGACATGTGCCCTAACTAGCACTTTTGTTGATATTTTACATTTTTTCTATTCATTATCACACATCCCACTATATTTTTCCCACATGCTTTCCTGTCCACATTATGCTTATTAGACTACATATGAAGAATTCAGGGCCAGTCCTGTTGCCTAGTGGTTAAGGGAGCAGGATCCCCTGTCTAATCACAGCTCTAATCCCAGCCCTAGAAACTTGAAAAACACTCTGGATGTGTATGTGTGTCCTAGATCCCAACAGGATGGCAAAATAGAGGAAAAGGGATTGCAACATTAGCACGCTCCATAGGGGGAGAGCATTATTTTCTTTCTCTTTATCTCTCTCTCTTGAGTGTACCAGTCCTCTGGCAATGAAAGATAAAAAAGCAGATACAATTTAGACTGATAAAGTAGACTTTAAAATATTTTAAAAATTAATTTTTACCTAAAGTATCTCAGTTATTTCTGGTAGTACAACTCTCTAATTACAAAATATGATCTCTGAGTTTTTCCAATAAAAATTCTAATGGTTTATTTACCATTCCTTATTTCTTATCTAATTTCCTACTAAGACACTAGATAGTGCCTTCTATGTGCCAGGAATGATGATAGTTGCTGAGGATATAAAGACACAGCTCTTATAGTTGTGCTACGTGAGCGCTACAGAGAATAAAACAAAGAACAGGAAGGGAAGCAGAAAGACAGCACCGTAAAAATCTCGTGGGTATCACACACAATTCAGTCATGTTATATGAGGGAGGGACATTTCGTATCCAGGAAATTGCTTTCTGATGATATTTAAATAAAATGCTTGGGAACCAGCAGTTAGTGTAATGGCTATGTCGCTGGACTCCCACGTAGTCGACCGCAGT